TCGACGGACGATGGTGTAATACCAACTTCCCCGACTTACTTGCTGAGATCCACGCCTCCTCTCCTCGCTACCGCCATATTAGATGGTTGTGCATTGGAATCCTCGTGTGGACGCTTTGGAACATTCGCAACAAGCTTGTCATTCAGAAAGTGCCTCTGCGACGTGCGACTGACGCGATCTTCATAATGTGGGGCTATTTGCAGCTCTGGCGGCCGCTTAGCCGCCCCCAAGACCGGATCGTCATCAACACCCTCCTCGCCGACCTTCGATCAATGGCCTTCCGCATGGCGCCCCCGCTTCCGCCACCTCCGCTGGAGCCTGATTAGGCATGCTTCTCATGTGGCGGTCTTTGTGTGTGTCCTTTTGTTTCTAGGGCTTGTTGAGTTGTGCCCTTAGCACTAACCCTCCTGCTACCTTATTTATGTGTGTGACTTTGGGTGTGTGTGTGTGTGTGTGTGAACCTTGTTGGATATTTGGCTCGGGCGGTTTTCTTTATATATAAAGCGGGGCGAAAGCCTTTTTCGGTAAAGAGTGGTGGGTTGCCTTATGTGACACAACCATCCCCAACAGAAAAGTGATGGCTTCCCTCTCAATGCTTTAGCCCCATGAACAATTTGGAATGGAAGAAATGCCCGGGCTTCCCAACGCAAGAGCGCCCCGCCAATGGCTCTTCTCCCCAACAATAAGAACGAACTGATACTTTGGGTAGCCGCAGGGGCAGAAAAATCAGGAACAATCATGTTGGGTGAGTAATAGCCTTATTTTGGTTGGGGTGTTGTAACACGAACTTGAACTCTTTTCTCTTCTTTCTTAATTAATGGATTAGGCAAATCTTGTAGTTCCATTTCAAAAAAATATATGGCTAACACATGCCACTACTTTTGGCCAATTATTCATTGTAACTCACCGGATCTCGGGTCTGTTACAGAGTTATTTGGTTTTGCATTACTGCCAAGATTGAGGGCTCTAAATTACTAGAAATAGTTTAATAAATTATATGAATTATCACTAAGCATCAGGCTGATTGCTTGTTCAAAATTCTTATGTTTATGCAACTTTGGATGCAATCAAGTGAAGAGTGAAGAGGAAGGACAAGACTGTGTTGGAGAAGGCAATGTGTGTGATCAGATTGCTCCATGTGTGCTTGATCTTCCTTAATGTGCAATCGGGAGAGAAGAACCCTACTTTAGACATGTTTGATGTGCATTCATCAATACTACCTATTGTCACAGGTTACCCCATTGTCTAGGTCGTCCTTAACTACGAACATATGGTTATCCATGAGTTTGTTGACAATGCTGAGGAGGAGAGCCGTATCAGAGCATCACCAACAACATCTCTATAATTTGGTGATCCAAAACCAACTTTAGGTGTGGAGAGAGAAAGTTTTGGGTTAGCAGAATTTTTTTCGCATTTTAGCAACCATATAACCGATGCCCTATAACTTGAGAACCACATGAAATATGGCGATCCGATGGCGAGGAGCTCGGAAGGGATGGTTGCACAGTACTCGGGGATGGCAACGGGGGTTTGGGAATGGCGATGAGGTCCTCGGGGGCGGTGGCATGGTGCTCGGGGCAACAGCGGGAGCTTAGGAATGACGATGAGCTGCTCGAGGACGGCGACAGGAGCTTGGGGCACGCGGCGGGGGAAAATCTGACGGTGTGGAACGCGGTGGGATTGGACAGTCGAAATTGGGCGGGACAGGGCGATGGCGGCCCGAGCTCGGTGGCGATTG